ACAGACACCTAGACCAATGGTACAGAATACAAGACACAGAGATAAGCCCACATAAATACTGTTATCTCATACAAGACAAAGGCACAAAAAAACATTCATTGAAAAAAAGATAGCCTCTTCAACAAATGGTGCTGGGAAATCTGGAAATCCATATGTAACAAAATGAAATTAAACCCCTATCTCTCACCTACACAAGACTCAACTCAAAATGGATTAAAACTTACATACTGAACAAAGACCCTGTGCTTAACAGAAGAAAAAGTAGGCCCAAATCTTTACCATGTTGGCTTAGGAACTGACTTCCTTAACAAGACTCCTAAAGTGCAAGAAGTAAATTCCAGAATCAATAAATGTGATGGCTTCAAAACTAAAAACAAAAAACAAAACTTCTTTTCAGCAAAGGAAACAATCAACAATATGAAGAGAGATCTACAGAATGGGAGAAAATCTTTACCACACATACCTCAGATAGAGCATTAATCTCCAGGGTATATAAAGAATGCAAAAAAACTTAACAACAACAACAAMAAAAAAACAAATAACCCAATCAATAAATGGGTTAAGGAACTGAACAGATATTTCATAGAAGAAGAAATAAAATCCATCAACAAGTATATAAAAAATACTCAACATCTCTAGCAATTAGAGAATCTCAAATCAAAATTACTCTTTCATCTCAGTCAGAAGGGCAATTATCAAGAATACAAGCCACAATAAATGTTGGAAAGGATGTGAAGAAAAAGGAACACTCATACATTGCTGGTGGACTGCAAATTGGTGCAACCATTATGAAAAGCAGTATGGAGATTCCTCAGGAACTTGAAATTGAACCACCATTTGACCCAGCTATCCCACTCCTCGGTTTATACTCAAAGGACTTAAAATCAGCATACTACAGTGATACAGCCACATCAATGTTTATAGCAGCTCAATTCACAATAGCAACCCTGTGGAACCAGCCAAGATACCCTTAACATGAATGAATAAAGAAAATATGATATATATATATATATATATATATATATATGATATATGAATGAAATGGAATCTTAAAGAAGAATGAAATTATGGCATTTGTAGGTAAATGGAGTTGGAAAATATCGTGCTAAGCAAAATAAGCCAATCCCACAAAACCAAAGGGTGAATATTTTCCCTGATATGTGGTTGTTAATTCATATTAGGTAGGGGGCTAGGGAAAAATAGAGATAGTTTGGATTAGGCAGAGGGGAATGAAGGGAAGGGAGCCATATGAAGTAAGAAGGATAGTGGAATGAATCAGACATTATTACCTTATGTGCATATATGATTATATGACAGGTGTGATTCTACAACATGTACAATCAGAAGAATGAGAAATTATATTCCATTTATGTATGATATGTCAAAATGCATTCTACTGYCATATATAACTAATTAGAATAACAAAAAATAGAAAAAATAAAGGATTTTCATGAGTTATTTAAGATTTAAATAGAACAGACATGAGAGGGAAAGAGACACTTAAAATAATCTCAGGTTTTTTGAATTCAGCAACCAAGTGAATGCTGGTACTAAAGATTATCAGATCAATTAAAAAAGATAAAGGGAACTCCTACAAAGAATTAACTCAAAAGAAGGGAAAATAATAGAAGAATAAAAAGAAGTCAAATAAAAAGCTGATTAAATTTATTTAAACTGTATAAGTAATCACATTAATTGTCAATCATGTGGTCACCCAATTTAAAATGCAAATATTTCAGGATAAATAAAAAAGCAAAACTCAACTATGTGTATTCTAAAAGAAATGGGGCTTACTCAAAACACAGAAATCATATGCTGTTCTCTATACCAGTAATGAGTAAGAAAATGAAAATTCAAAAGCATGTTATTCATGATACTATTAAAAATAACAAGCTAGGAATAATTCTAATGAGGATATACAAAAAATTGGGCATGGTGGTGCATGCCTGTAGTCCCAGTGACTCAGGAGGCTTTGGAAGGAGGACTGAAAGTTGAAGGTCAGACTCAGCAACATAGCAAGACTCTTAGCAATGTAGTAAACCCTGACTTAAAAATGAGAGCTGGTGTTGTAGCTCAGTGGTAGAGTGCTTACCTAACATGTGTGAAGCACTAAGTTCAATCTTTTGTACCACACAAAGATAAATAAATAAATGAACAAATAAAAAATAAATGAAATATATTGTATCTATCTACAACTAAAAAAAAWTTTTTTTAAATAAAAATGACTGGGGATGTAGCTTGGTGGTAAAGCAATCCTGGGTTTAATCCCCAGTTCCCACCTCCCAAACAAAAGACAAGACAAACAAGTATGCAATACTTTATTATTTTTACTCAGAAAACTACAAAAGATTATTGATAAAAGGATGATCTACATAAAGTATGCTATTCAGTTTACATGGATTAAATGATATAATATCATAAAGATCTTAATTCTTGAATAATCTATAATTTAAATGGAATTTAAAATCAAAATCTTATAATGACATTTTGCAATTTACTAATTTCAAAATGTATTTGGAAATTCAGAAGACCAAAAAGAGTCAAGACATTCTGAAGGAAAGTATGATGTTCTGAAAGTCATGGTCTACTAGAATAATCAAGAGGTAATGTATAAGTGCAATTAAAAAAAACAGATCCACAACTAATTTATGACAAAGGCAGAGGTTATCTTTCCAACAAATGGCACTTGGAGATATATGTAGGAAAAAGAACAAAAGATGACCCTTATACTTCACATCATCTACAAGAATTGATTCTAGGTAGACTGTAAATTTAAATATAAAAAACAAAACTACGGTTTCTGGAAGATAGTTTAGGAGAACATTGTCATGACTTTGAGGTAGGAAAAGAGTTTAATCGGGACACAAAAATGCTACACAGTTAAGGAATTAAAACTAAAATTCTAGTCATTAAAACAAGGAAGAAAATAAACTATCAAGAGAATTATAAGACCAGCCACGGAGTGGGAATATATATTTACAATATAAATATAAATATATGTGTGTGTATTTATTGGACAATATATAAAAAACTCCCCCAAATCAACAGTTCAGATACCTAAATAAAAATGAGCAGAGTATTTGAACAGGCACTCACAAAAGAGGACATCAAATGCCCAACAAACATATGAAAAGATATTCTGGAAACAGGGAAATGCAAATTAAATCGTAAGATAGTATTACAAGTCCATTATAAAAATTGAGAATACCACATGTTGGTAAGGACATGGGGCAATAGTACCAATTATATGCTCTGGTAGGAGTGTAAACTGATAAAAACTACCTTGGAAAGTTGTCTACCTATTTATGTTGGCTCCAAACTTGACACAACATAAATTCATTAACAGTGGATAAATAAATAAGCTATGGTATATTCATACAGTAGACCCATCAATGAAAATGCATAAACTTCTGCCATATGCAACAACATAGATGAATCTAACAAATAGTGAATAAAAGAACCTAGACACGCAAAAATACATACTATTACATGATTCCACTTATAGTTTTAAAAAAGAATATTTAGGGTACATACTTGCAAAATTTTCATAAAAATCAGGATAGTTTTATTAGCTTTAAGGAAATGAATGAATAGTGATTGAGAAGGGATACAAAGACCATGGAACATGATAATGTTATACATCTTGGTCTAGAGAAAAAAAAAACACATAGGTGTTCTTTTAGAGATAAATCTAATCTTTGTTTTGTGTACTTTATTGAATTCTGGTCAATATGAATAGGAGGGCCTTATCAACTAATGCACATATTATAGAAAACTGTTACATGGTAGAGCAGGCTGAGCATGGCATGGTGGGGCACACCTGGAATCCCAGCAATTCAGGAGGCTGAGGAAGAAGGTCTCAAGTTCAAGGCTAGCCTTAGTTAGATCCAGTCTCAAAAAATACAAAGGACTGGGGATGCAGCTCAGTGGTAAGTACCTTTGGGTTCAATCCCCAGAAATGGAAAAAAAAAAAAAAAACAAAAGACCAGACTGAATGGACAATCAGGAACTTAAGTTCAATTGAAGCATGCCAAAACAAGAACAGAAAATAAGAAATGGAGACATGAATACAGACGACTGTTAGGAAAAATTTGGTTTCSAAGGAGAGCAAAGATGTAGGGTGATAGACAGTTGGAAGGGAACACAAGGTTATGAACAAGATAAACTGACATAATTATTCTTAAGAAACCACAGATTCCAGACTTGCCGGGTGAAGGCTAAAATGTCTTAAATACACTCAAAGACATAAGAGAAAAACTTGGACAAAGAACTAAAAGCAATCAGAAAAACAAATTATAATAAGGAATCACACAGAAATTCTTGAGCTGAAAAAGTATAATAACTGACTTGAAAAATTCATTTGAAGGGTTCAAGAGCAGATGTGAGCAGGAAAAACAAAAATTATTTAATTCAAAGACAGGACAATATCAAATTATCAAGTTTAAAATACAGAATTTTTAAAAAAGAATTATTCAAATGATCCAACAAGTCCACTCTAGGTATATACTTAAAATAATTAAAAGTAGGGACTCAAAAAAATGTTTATACACCACTGTTTATAACAAAATTATTCACAATAGCCAAAAGGTGGAAGCAAAACAAAGTATGATACACCCATATAATAGGCAAACCTAAAAAGAAGTGAAATTGTGATACATGTTACAATATGAACAAACCTTGAAAAAATTATGCTAAATGAAATAAGCCAGACACAAAATAAATGTTGTTTGATTTCATAAATATGAGATACATAGAATAGGCAAATTCATAAAGACAGAAAGTAGATTATAGGGAGGAAGTGAAAATGAGACTTTATGGGTATAGAGTTTTTGTTTAGGATAATGAAAAAGTTCTGGAAATGGATGGTATTGATGGTTGTACAATATTGTGAATGTATTAAATGACAAATTTTATATTATATATATTATACTAGAATTTTCAAAAGTACAAAAGGGAAAAACAAAAGCAGATATGTAAGAGAAAAGTACCCAAATACTCACTAGTTCTAGCTTCCATTTTTCAGCCTCTCCAATAGTTGTAACTTTGCCAATATCTGCATCATCATGGAAAAATGGTTTCTTGGCAGCTTCATTTACCCTGGAATCATCACCTGTTGTAACCCAAGAATTCTGCATGTTTCCCTGAAATAAAATGGGTCAATAATTGCAATTGGCATTCAATTTTAAATAAGCATGAATACTTTTTTTTAAAAAAATTTGTTCTTTAGTTCTTGGCGGACACAACATCTTTGTTTTTGTATGTGGTGCTGAGGATCGAACCCGGACCCCACTTAAGCCAGACAAGCACGCTACCGCTTGAGCCACATCTCCAGCCCCAGCATGAATACTTTATAAATATTGATTCATATTCACAATGAAAGGAGGAAAAACATGTACTTTTAAAGTCAAGAATTGTCTTACCTTTTCAAGTTATTAGAGTCATATTCCACAAAAGGTGTTACAAAGTTAAAATCCTATAAGTATGGGCAATAATCCAAATGTGAGCAAAGAGGCCTAAATGTCAGTATATTTAGCAAATGGAATTATCTCTCACTCATCTGAAGACATATATTCTTGAAACACATAAACCTACCTGGGTTTGCTAATTTTCCATATTTCACAGATGCATGGCTAATAACAGTAATCATTGCAAACATATGTGGTGTTAACGATGTGTCAGACACAATTTTATGGGTTTAATATGACTTGTTAATGATCACAGATTTAGAAAACAGCTAATAAGTGGCAAAACCAGGATCTAAACCTTGGTGGTCTAGGTCCAGAGTCCTTGCCTGTGGCATAGTAAGAAATATATTATTTAGTTTCTGCCTTTGTTTCTTGACACAGAATTCTGAAAATTCTCATAATTTTCTGAGTGATAGAATGCCAGGAGCATCTTTTGATATAATATTTGGTTTCAGGTTCTGGTTCCTGCCATAAGAACATGTAAGACCTTTAGTATCCCCAGAATGATAAAAGTATTTTTATGCTAATTAAATGATTGGTGGCCGGGGTCCCTAGATAGCTTTAAGATGGAGCTGATCTCCTGAAAGACCAAGGCAGGATTAGAGAACTGGAACTTTTAGCCCCACCCCAGATCTCTGAGGACAGAGAGGCTTGAGATTGATTTAATCAACAATGGCCAGTGATATGATCAATCATGCCTATGTACTGAAGCCTCCATAAAATCTTACATGATGGGGTTCAGAGAATTTCTAGGTTGATTAATATATACATGTGCCAAAAGGTGGCACATCCAGCTCCATAGGAACAGAAGTTTCTGCACTTGGAGTCATTCTGGACCTTGCCTTGCATACCTCTTCATTCGGTTATTCATTTGAATCTTTTGTAATGTCCTATATAATAAACTAGTAATAACAAATAAAGTGTTTCATTAAGATTTTTAAGCTGTTATAACAAATATCAAACATAARGAAGAGATTGTTTGAACCCTCAGTTTGTAACCAAGTCAAAGAAAATTATGGATAATCTGGAGATCCACCACTTGTGATTGGGTCTGATACCAACTGTGGGTAGCTAGTGTYAGAATTTAATTGAGGCATTGGACACCCAGTTGGTAGCCACAGAAAAATGGAGAATGACCTGGTATAGAGGGAAAAAATCCCAAATATTTGGTGTCAGAAATGTTACAAGGAGAAAAACAGGAATAGTTTTTCTTTTCATTTAGTACCCCAAGCCATTATGTTCTTACCCATTTACAAAATAAATAAATAAATAAATAAATAAATAAAATCAATCCTCAAAAGAAAAAGAATGCACATGTTGTTATAAACAGAAGTGATACGCAGCTTGCATGTCAGGGATTCAAAAAGGAGTGGTAGGAATGATGACAAATCATAGAAATGTGTCCTATGCAAAGGACACAGCCACTCCTAAGTCCCAGTCAATCTTTGCCATATGGGAATAAAAATTCATATTACCCGAAAATCGTCAGATTTTCTTTTAAAAGATTAGCCAGATTCTGGTTCTTCATTTGAAACATTGTTAAATATTAACTCAATGTTTACCAAACCAATGAAACATATTTGTGGGTTGTATTCAGCATACCATCATCAGTGTGTAACCTAACATTTAATGAAATAAGCAACACAAAGATCTGAGAAATGTATGTGTGCAACAAGGACTAAAATACTTACRTTAGTTTAATTCAACAAATAATTATTGAATTCTTGCTAAGGGCTAGTCCTCGTATATTATAATGCCATATCATGCTAGAATGTGGTAAACCGCATTCTTACAGAGTAGCATTCTAAGATTCTATTCCATATCCTCTGGAAGATCATTTTAGTGCAAACATTTGCATAGCACCTACTATATTCAGACACTGTAAAAGGGCTTGGAAGACAAAAATGAACATGATTAAATTTTAGCTCCAAGGAATTTATAGTCTAATGAGGAAGACAAACACCAATCAGATAATTTCAATTTAATAAGGTGACTACTAAGCTAGAGGTATGGCTGGGGGACTATGCCAGAACCGGAAGGATATTAAGGGACAACATTAATTTAAAGGTTTTGTGCCTGCAGAGGAGTTCATAGGAAATTCACAATTACTAATGGTAAAAATAAAAGGTGATGTGACAGAGGATGAAGCTAGAAAATCAAACGAGGGTCTTGTGCATAGTATAGCATGCTATGCTAATAAGCTTATACTCAATTCTGTAGGTAGGCTCAACTCTCTGAAGATTTGACTGAATTCAATGTTGGCTTTGAGATCAATGAAGGAAGGAAGGAAGGAGGGAGGTACTTATTTCCTACGGAGAATTCCTGGAGAAATCGGAGGAAGCATGTGGACCATAGATTGCTGGCTCATTGTATAAAATACCATCATTCTTTGGAAATAAGTGCAGGTCTAATGGACACTTTGTTCTTCCAGAGATAGCTTTTAAAAACTTAAATGGTATTTAATCAAGATTAAAAAACATCTCCATATATTAAATCCCTAAACATCATTAAAAACCCTTTATTCCTTAATAGAGGGGAGTGTTGGTATGGGAGGGGATGAGAACAAACCTTGGAAGAAATGTCTCAGAAATTTTCCATTAAAAAAACTGCTAGATCTTTGAGTATACATGCCAAAAATTATAATAAATAACATTTTAATATTATAATTTTTGAATTCTAGACAAAGCTTTCCAGGAAAAGAAATTTTATGAGAGTAAAAAATGATGAAAAATGAAAGTAGAAATAAAGTATACTTTAAATAGCTTAGTATTATTTTAAAAATCATCTGCTTGCTTCTTCAATATCTAGGTCATAAACTAGGCCAAAAGCTAAAAGTCTTGTTGGCTGTCACTCAATTCTAGAGATAAAAAGTGAGAGACTCTGAAAAGGAGAAACTTTATTCTTTACAAACAAAAATGGTTTGGTTCAAAATTGACAAGCTCTTTCTAAATTATGCAGAAAAGCAGCATAATTTAGAAGTCAGAAAGTCATGGGTTTAAGTTCTTGCTTTGCTATTTCATAACTCTGTGATATTAGACCAGTTCCTTAACTACTGCATACTTTAATGTTATGCTCTGAAAATGAAATAACACCTGTCTTGTGTGACTATTGTGAAACTAAAAGCATATATATAGTGTTTGATACAATGCCTAGCACATTATAACAAGGTAGTGATCATTAGATGTTAGTTATTACTATGTAACTGTTTCAATTAATTTTCAAAAGAGGACATTATTAAACACTGAAAACCAATACTCAAATCAGCCAATTGTGTTGGCAAAACCTAGCATCAACATTTTAATTGACTCATTAATAAAGTTTTCCTACTGCCAAAGAAGATAATATTTCTTGATCTGTTTACATTTGAGCAATTCTAAAAAGTGTTATTCATATTAAAACTCCCAGGGCAATACCATGCATGCATTACTGAAATGCCTCAATTCATCCACACAAGTGAAAAGCAGAGCAACAATTTTATAACAATAAATAACACAGCCGGACATGGTGGTGCATGCCTGTAATCCTAGAGGCTTGGGAGGCTGAGGAGAAGATCCAGAGTTCAAAGCCAGCCTCAGCAAAAACAAGGTGCTGAGCAACTCAGTGAGACCCTGTTTCTAAATAAAATACAAAAAAGGGCTGGGGATGTGGCTCAGTGGTTGAATGCTTCTGAGTTCATCTCCAGCACTCAAAAAACAAAACAAGTAGAGTATTAAAATAGATGTCGAAATCACTACATATATCTATAACAATCATTTCAATATTTGCATTACATATTAGCTTGTGAGAATATTTAAAGAAGACGACAAAAACCCCTCTATAACCTTGTCAGTTCTATGATTATGACTCCAGTTTTSCTTGCACTGCAAGGCATGTGTTCTTTCACAATCACTTCCTTCCCCTTTTGCATTACTCACTTCTCTTGCCTTCTGATTCACTGGTCTGCCTAGTTTCCTTTTTCAGTACACTTCCCTTTATTTGTCATTATAGAAATATTGAAGACTATGAATAATTGACTCCTTGCATGCTAAGTGACTATATATTTAGAAAGAAAGCAAAAGAATATATTCATTTTTTAGATGAGCTACTTCTAAGTTCTTTTTGTGTGGTGATAACTTCTTCAAATTGACATTAAAATATAAGATGGAGTTTTTGAACACTAATATTAGTAATTATGTAAATCTTCAGAAAAGTTAAGTAGTGAGGGAAAAATAACTGATCACAAACTTAAATGTAATTGCACAAACTTACTAATACTAACTGACTCTTTAGTATTAGTAATAATACTAAGTGAAATACTAATCAGCTTACTACACTTTTCAGAATTAATAATTATATATTTTGCCATAGCAAATTCTAACATATCATTTAAAAGATTAGAAATGAAATACCAAAAAACAAAGTAAAATTTCAAAAACAAAAGAATACATAGGTAAAACATTAAGACTCTCCCATTTTTTTCTCTTAACAGAACTGATTTACAAATGATGACTAAGTTAAAACCATCAAAGCTGAAACAGGCAAGTATTAAAACTTCCCCATGGACAGTTGAAATTGCCTCAAAAAACAGAACAATCATTGACTATGTCCTAAAACAACAGTGAAAAAATTTTTAGTGCAACAGTACCTCCAAGTTATAAGAAGATATTAATTTTAAACACTATTCAAGTATCATCACAAGAGTTTTGTCGCAGAACTATAAGAAATCATGTGATCTATTGTTCGTTAAACTGTGGGCCACTGATATTAGAATCACTTAGGTCTTGATAAAAATTCATATTCCTAGAACCCAACAGGACCAACTATCAGAATCTCAGAGGATAGAGCCCAGGAATCTGCATTCTCAACTTGATAAAGGTGAATCTTCTCAAATTATCAATAAAGGAATTACACATGAAGTTAAATCAGGCAAAGCCCTGTAAAATTATTTGCTAAATACATGGTTCCTAAGGGATGACTGAAAGACTAATTTTGATTCATGGGCCCTTAATTAATAATATCATATTGTTAATTAGACTTCTTAGATTTTAGAGCTCAAGAAAAATTCACAATAATCCATCAAAGATCTAAGGTTAGATTCTGAATAGTTTCCAGAATTACCAAAGTCTTCCTACATAACATACTTCCTACTTTCAGATCCAGTCTTTCCACATGGAAAAATAATAATTAGTATGCTCATAGAAGAACTGGAGTAAATATTAGGCAATGCTACATTACTTCATTTGAGGTTACCTTTCATCTTAGTAAATTCTAATTTTTGAGACATCAAGCAAATACCAGTATAGTGTTTTGGCCAAACTTCAAGGAAAGATTCTAAGCAGTTCAGAAGGCTAAGGTAGAAGGTAGAAAGGAACATTCAAACTAAACTAGAATTTATGATTTTTAAAAAATTCTCACAGATGCATCCAGAAGTGTTTGTTCCCTCATTGTCTCCTCTTGTCTTTGAGATTTCAGCTGGAGTCTTTCTTGCTGGAGTCTTTCATTTTCAAGCTCAACTACTTGTATCTTATTTTTCATTCCAGAGAGTTCCTCCTATAAACAGAAACCAAAAAGAATGAGCTTTTTAAACAATGCTTTTATTTACTGATCACTAAAGGATCCAGAATGATATAAAATATAGAAGGTTTGTGTTCTGTTAATTTCCTGAAACACTACAATTATATTTAGACAATAAAGGTAACCCAAACATTAGCTAACAGAGAGAATGTTAGGAATGTATAGTTGAAGGCATGTTGATGGCCATATCACAAACCTGTAGTTTCTGACATTTTTTTTTCATCACAAGGATTCAAGGCTTATAGAAAGGCCTTAATTAAAATAGTTATCAAAGAGTTTTTAAATAATGATATACACTGCTGAAAATAAGGTATGATATTATTAATAATAAAATGTCAATAACTTGTGTGGACTAAAAAGGAGAAAACTTGGAGATAAAGGGATAGAAAGAGGCAATGATTATCTATGAACTGGTAGCCATATAGCAGTGAATTATGAGTAAAGCAGTATGGTGGGTTCCTCTGACCCTGCAAGGTGTAATATAAGGTATTATAAATAAATGACAATAGAATAGCTCTTGAGTGGCACCTGAAAAAAATATGCCAAATTATTAATATATCAATGAGGTAATACTTATCCTAATAATATTCATTACTAATATAATAAAAAACTAGTATATAACATATGCAAATTCCTTCCAATTATTTTATTTAGAAAAAGCAAAGCTGTAATTAAAAAAACATTTTTAGAGTTCTAATTTTCATTCTTACATGCAATGAATTTACAAGACATCAATCCCATCTTTAAACATCCTAATCTTTTATAAGACTATAGCAGAGGGATTCAGCTGAAAGAACTGTATTTAAGAGGAATTTTCTAAGGAAACCCAAAAACCACAAAGGAGACAAAAACCAGGATACTGGAAGAAATCTTAACCTCTGAAATGTATGGCAAAAGCAAACAGTCAAAACAGCCTCACTTCTGGACATATAAATATGAAAATTAACATTAAAGTTCTAGTTAAATACAGTTCCTATTACCTAGTACATCATGTCCGACATTCAATTAAAAATTTCAAGGCGTACTAAGGACTTAAAACACAGTTTGAAGAGAATGAATAAGCATCCAATCTCAGACATGGCAGAGATGCTGAAATTATCAGGACAGACTTTTAAAACAAATAAGATTACTATGCTAAGATCCCCTCCCTCTCTTTCTCCCTTCCTTCCTTCCTTCCTTCCTTCCTTTCTGATACTGGATTAAACCTTGGGGCACTGAGATACATCCCCAATACTTTTTCTTTTTATTTTGAGATGGGGTCTCTTTAAGTTGCTGATTGTCTTGCTAAGTTACTGAGGCTGGCCTCAAACATGTGATCCTCCTGCCTCAGCCTTCCAAGTCACTGGGATTACAGGCATGTGCCACTACACCTGGCTGCTAAAATCTTTAATGAGAAAAGTTAACTACATGTAAGAATAGGTGGGTGATGTCAGTGTGGAGATGGAAACTTTAAGAAAGAATTATAAGTAAATATTAGAAATCAAAAACAATAACAGACATGAAGAATGTCTTTAATTGCCAATCAATAGACTGAACAAGGCCAAGGAAGACAATTACTAACTGGGAAGAGCTGGCAATAGAAAATTCCAAAACAAAATTGAAGAGAGAAAGAGAAAAATTAAAAACAAAAAACCCCACCAAAGACAGAAAAGAATATCCAAAAACTGCAGTACAATTATAAAAAAATGTAATATATGTGTAATGGGAATACAAAAAAGAAGAAAGAGAAAATGAATGGAAGAAATATTCGTATCAACAGTGACTGAAATTTTTCCTAAATAATTAATAGGCACTAAATAATAGATCCAGGAAGCTCAGAGAACATCAAGTAGGATAAACACCAAAAATATCTAAACCTAGGAATATTATATTCAAACTGTAGAAAATCAAAGTCAAAGAGMGATCTTAAAAGAAACTAAAGTAAAAATGTAAAACAAATACAACTACCACCACTAACAATAATAACAATAAGTCTTTACCTATAGAGAAGCAAGAATAAGAATTATATAAGACTTCTTATTTCTTTTCCAAAACTATGTAAACACAAAGAGAGTGCAGAATGAAATTTTTAAAGTGTTTAAAGGAAAAAAATAAAAACCTAGATAACTTAGAATTTTGTATTGAACAAAATTAACCTTTGAAAGGGAAGGAAAAAAATAAAGACTTTCGTAGACAACAATTGTGAGGGAGTTTGTTAATAATACACCTGCCTTGCAAGAAATATTAAAAGACATTCTTCACAAAGAAGAAAAATGATTTAGGTCAGAAACCTATCATATATATAGAGTAAGAAAGAGTATTAGAGAAGTAATAAATGGAGATAACATAAATATTTTAGTTTTCTCATTAATTTTTCAGATAATAGTTGTTCAACATCAGGATAGCAACAGTGAAAGTGGTAATAATAGTTTATGTATAACTGAAATGAATGATAGCAATGTTTTTAAAGGACAGGAGAGAGAAATAGCAGCTATTTAATGACTTACACTTCCTATGAGGTAGACATGGATTATTTGCAAGTGCATATTGCAAACTCTAAAAAAGTAAAAAGGAAAAATGTATAATTGATAGATTTGCAAAGACAGGATTCAAAAAGGCAATCATATTAAATAAGCAATTACAACCAATGAAGACATGAAGAGAGTAGAAAAAAAGAAACAAAGGAGGGCAATTAAGAGAGCAATTGATTGGCTTATTTCTTTTATTGGTGCTTAGCTTTTTGAGTCCCTTATATACCCTAGAGATTAGTGATCTTTCTGATGTGTGAGGGGTAAAAATTTGCTCCAAGGGTGTAGGCTCTCTATTCACCTCACATATTGTTTCTTTTGCTGAGAAGAAATTTTTTAGTTTGATTCCATCCCATTTATTGATTCTTGGGCTATAGGAGTCTTATTAAGGAAGTTGGGGCCAAATCCCACATGATGAAGATGAGGGCCTACTTTTTCTTCTGTTAGACACAGAGTCTCTTCTGGTTTAATTCCTAGGTCCTTGATCCACTTTGAGTTGAGTTTTGTGCATAGTGAGAGATAGGGGTTTAATTTCATTTTGTTGCATATGGATTTCCAGTTTTCCCAGGACCTGAACAGATACTTCTCAGAAGAGGATATACAATCAATCAACAAATATATGAAAAAATGTTCATCATCTCTAGCAATTAGAGAAATGCAATTCAAAACTACTCTAAGATATCATCTCACTTCAGTCAGAATGACAGCTATTATGAAGACAAACAACAATAAGTGTTGGTGAGGATGTGGGGGAAAAAATACACTCATACATTGCTGGTGAGACTGCAAATTGGTGCAGCCAATATGGAAAGCAGTATGGAGATTCCTTGGAAAAGTAGGAATGGAACCACCATTTGACCTAGCTATACCTCTCCTCAGTCTATACCCAGAAGACTTAAAAACAGCATATTACAGGGACATAGTCACATCAATGTATATAGCAGCACAATTCATAATAGCTAAACTGTGGATGCCCTTCAGTAGATGAATGGGTAAAAAATGTGGCATATATACACAATGGAATATTATGCAACAATAAAAGAGAGTAAAATCATGGCATCTGCAGGTAAATGGATGGCATTGGAGAAGAAAATGCTAAGTGAAGTTAGCCAATCCCCAAAAAGAAATGCTGAATGTTTTCTCTGATATAAGGAGGCTGGCTCATAGTGGGGTAGGGATGGGGAGCATGGGAGGAATAGATGAATTCTTGATAGGACAAGGGGGAGGGTGAGAAAGGGAGGGAGCAAGGGGTTAGCAAGGATGGTGGAATGTGATAGACATCATTACGAAGACAGGAATTGGTGTGAACATACTTTATATACAACCAAAAATATGAAAAATTGTGCTGTATATGTGTAATAAGATTTGTAATTCATTCCACTGTCATTTATTTTTTAAAAATCAGCTAAAACGGGAGCAGTAACAAGTGTTGGATATTAACCTTACTATATCAATAATTATTTAAAATTTCTAGATATAAAAATTTAAAGACAGACATATCATAAGAGGTTTTAAAAAAGTCCTCAAGTATACCTTCAAGAAGCCCAATGTAAATATAAAGAAATGGATTGATAGAGGGCTAAATATAAATACCCAGCAGAGGTACCTCTGCTGTACCATAGGATAGAACCATAGCAACAGATTTGTAACTGCCTGTGGAGGTGGGTGTCCATGAGTAAGCATTGGAAATTGACAGCAGAAAAAATGAAACCTGCTGAAATCCAGAGACTGGGGGAAACAACAAAACAAGTAGAATATCCAGGACTTGGTGTCTAGTACCTCAGTCAAGGGCAGGGAACTCTTCAAGGGGGTTCAGGTGAAAGAGAAAGAGTTATAATCACAGGGTGGTGCAGAAGGCTGCACTCTGCAGACAGATTAAATATACACATAACCTACAGTCTGCACAGCAAGGTAGCTTTAGAGAAGAAATGTACTATATCTTGCAGCAAACTATCAGAATGCTATAGCTAGGAGCCAGAGGGCATAATCACATCTCAGGTCCTTGTGGACAGTTGGCCCYGTTGATTGGACAGGCAACAGGCACCTGAGATAATCTTGGCTTGGGGGAGCATCTCCTGACACAAACCCCATGATAAAAGTTTTATGCTTCAGGGAGCATGGGATGTAAAGAGAAGAGGAGTAGAGAGCACTGCCCTCAGGAATCAATGGTTCAGGGAGCCCACTCTCTTGTGACCTAGAGTGACACCAATGGCATGTAGTCATGTAGGGACCAGGTTTGAAGGTGTCATGATTCAGAGTAGTAGACCACTGGGTTCCTGCAAAACCTCCTTCAGCAGAAAACTCAGTGGTCCAATTTCCCCCTCCTTCCCCCAGGAGGCATTAGGGGATACCTCTGGCTTAGGCATTTGTGTCCCTCACACTCCTCACTCCAGGATGTGTAGACTTTAAGAGAGGGAGGGAAGGAGGAATGAATAGGTGAAGCACAAGAAATGTTAAACTACTATGTATGGTACTGTAATGGTGGATCTGTGTCATTATACATTTCTCAAAACTCATAGAAAATATAATGCTTGAATTTAATGAAAACTAGAAAATTTAATGTAAACTAGAAAATTTTGGTTCATCAGTTGTAACAAATGTACCACACTGAGACAAGATAACCAGGAAAACTGTGGGGTAGAGTTTTGATTGAGAGAAGTATATGGAAACTCTATGTATTTTTTTTTTCAATTTTTCGGTAAACATAAACTGATCTTAAAAAAAAAGACCCAGAGGTGAATTAAACAACTTCTTTAATTAATTAAATAACTTGCTTCTAAATCTTTAAATGTTATTTTCTTTCTATTCCTTCTTTGTTAAAATGTCTAAAAACCATGCTTTATCTGACTTTCAAGTCTTCTATAATCTTCCATTTTACCAGTTCAGCATTATTTTCATTATTTTTATGAGACACACTCCATGGTAGGAAGATAGAAGAGATGTCTCATGGGACCTACAAACAAACTATACTAATCCTAAATATATAATTGTTACTGTTCTTTACAAAACTTTTTCTCTTCCCTTCTGCTGAGCTAGATGGTTTCCTTTAATGAATGATTCAAGATCCATGTCTCCCATAAAAAATATCCCCAAAGACATGAGCTTTTTGCATCCTTCTTCCCATATTATAGCTAAAGTTTAAGCCATGAAGTAAAGAACAACATATTCTCTATTATGTTGCTATGGTGCTCATAGGTAATAGTTTTTGGTCTTTTCAACTAGATGGTAAATTTATTATTCTTTATATATTTTAAATTTTATCCATAGTATCTTTAGTGATCAAGAGATTCTTGCTAATGGAATAATTATTATGATATTATTTTGGTTTTACTGATAATCCAAGAGTACCTAAATATTAATGATCATGTACTTCAAAAACAAAGAAAAAACTAAATGTTGAGATCAGGGACTCCTTTGTAAGATCAAGATCATGAAACATATAAAGCCTCCTTAAGTTACATACTGGTCTTACGGGGTATGAAAATACACACCTGTAATCCCAGCCATTGGGAGGCTGAGGCAGGAGGACTGCCAAATTCAAGGCCAACCTCAGCAACTTAGTAAGACCTGTCTCAAAACAAAAAATAAAAGGTCTTGGGATRTAGCTCAGTGGTAAAGTGCCCCTGGGTTCACTTGCTAGTATMAAAAAAAAAGTAAAATAAATAATAAAAAAGTTACAAACTGGTCTTACATCAAAATGTTAAAAATATAATACATGATACAAAAAATATCAGCAATTTCCATAAAATATCACATAATTCAATCCTTAGCACCAAAATGACAATATACAAAAAAATATTTTATATATGTAACAGATATTTTTCATATAAAAATCATCATCTGATTCACAAATAATACAAAATTTGAAAAGGGAAAAAATAATGAGAACAAAAAACTAAAACAAAACAAAAACTGAAACACTAACATTACCTTGAAAAAGTAGAAAGGTTCTAATGGAATTAATGACATCACCAAATTGCAAATAGTCAAACAATATAACTTTTCAGAATCACAAACTATGGGGTAATATTCAATTTCTTAATCATTACTCAGTATGAATCACTATTAATCAAGTTCAAGGTAAGAGCCTTAACAGTGACAATGGAACAAATTTGGTCTACCAGCTTAGAATCCTCAATTATTGTACCACAGCTTCAATAAGTTGACAATTGTGGGAGAATAATTGGTCTTAGTATTCCAAAATATTTGCCATCTGGTAGGCTAAAGTAAATGGAGTGGAAAGGAGGAATTCTGAAACATGAGAGCATATTGTGAAATCATTAGACATAGTAATGGACTACTGGGAAATTAAGCAATCAGAAATGGCATGTTCRAGAATATCATCCTGAAGACAAGTTCCTGTACTACATTAGTCTTTCTATAATGTAAGAATAGCGATTGGCTATGGACTGCTACAAACATGAAAACTAATGATAGCAAATTCTTATTTAAGACATAATTGACATAAATTTTAATCTGTAAGATTAAATTTCTAAAGGGAACTTACCTTGCAAAACTTGACTTCAGCCTCTAAATGATGAATGTATTGAAATTGGTCATTAATGATAGGAACAAGGTTGTGTACAATAGGAATATTAGTTTCCTCATATTCTGATGATCTCTAAAACAAAAAAAGGTAAATTATGCATGTTTGGATTTTGCAAAAAATCAGCTGATACCTTCTCCAGATTTAATTCAGCACATATTTGGTGTAAACAAAGATCAAAGTGTAACTAATAGTATTTATTTCTCTATTCTATAAATTAAATATACAAGACAAGGGGATATGAATATCATTTTTTTTACAGACAGAAAGTAAAGATTGTTATTAAAAGAAATGGAAAGTGTAAAGATACTGGGGTAGGATAATTGTCTTAGAATGACTTGCCTATTTGAACTGAAAACAAAATCCTATTCAATAATGCTGTGATATGAGGGACAGCTCTCTCTAAGAAACTGCCATGGAAGACAACTGCTAGCTGAAACTGTAGATTAGCTCACTGAAGAAAGAGATTCTTTAGATAAATGTTTGAGGTCAAATGTATGTCAATAATGTAAAATTCCCTTTCAAAAAAGATRCTTCAGCAAAACATTTTTTTTGTTTTAAATTTTTGATTCTAGTACTTAGGCAATTCTAAACTGTGCTTTTTTGGGGGGAAGGAGTATAGAACCTCCAAGACTTGAGCCCTAAAGTAGAGAGAGAGAATTTTTTAATATTTATTTTTTAATTTTTGGCGGACACAACATCTTTGTTTGTATGTGGTGCTGAGGATCAAACCTGGGCCACACGCATGCCAGGCGAGCGYRCTACTGCTTAAGCCACATCCCCAGCCCTAAAGTATTTGACTTTTAATGTATATCTTAGCTTATTTTAAATGACTACTATAAAATAACTTTTTTTAAAAAAAGAAATAAGGGAAAGGAAAAATGAAGTTCAACCAGTTAAACAAGAGGAAAGTTTGAAATGGACAATCTCTATTTCTCAATCATTCTGGTTTTCAGTTCAACAAAAATTATGAACAATCAAATATCAGCTTTCAAGGCAGATAGTTAAAAATAGCTTTATGTTTGGGTATATTAAATTTAAAAAACAAAGAAACTTTATGTATGTATGTATGTACATATATATGTATTGTGATTCTAGGAATTGAACACTGGGCCTCATGAATGCTAAGTCAAAGCTCTGCCATTAAGCTGTATCTTCTGCCTCAAAAGTAGGTTTATTTATTTACTTAATTATTTACTTATTGGCAGTATTGGGAATTGAACCTAGGGATGTTCTACCACTGAGCTACATCCCCAGTCCTTTTTACTATGAGACAGGATCTCACTAAGTAACTCAGATTGGCCTTGAACTTGAGATCCTCCTTTCTCAGTATCCTGAGTCACTGGAATTGGTGTGTGCCTTCATGCCCAGCTAAAATAACATTAATTAAACGAACTACCTGTGGTGGGTAGAAAGCTAAATAACTAAGACATTACACTTTTACATTTGTCATATATATATATATATATATATATATATATATGTTATACAATAATCTCTATTTATTTATTTGTTTGTTTTTTTTGTTTATTTATTTATTTATTTTTTATGTGGTACTGAGGATTGAACCCAGGGCTTCGCCCTTACTAGGTGAGTGCTCTACCACTGAGCCACAACCCCAGACCTATAATCATTTTATATTAATAGAAACAGGTTCAGAATGTAGGCAAATATGAATTAAGTACAGTTAGTCCTCCATGTCTGAATCCTCACATCCATGGAGGATTCAAACAATTGCATATCAAAAAATATTTGAAAAACATACTTAATCTGTACTAATGATGTGCAGAGCTTTTTTTTCTGGTCATTTTTACCTAATAGTATAGCATAAAAACTATTTACATAGCATCACATTGTTTTAGGTATTTACATAGCATCACATTGTTTTAGGTAATCCATCGGTGATTTAAAGTATATGGGCAAATGTAATATGTTATATGAAAATACTATGCTATTTTATGTAAGGATTGGAATATTCATGGATTTTGATATCAAAAGAGGGGTCCTGGATCTAATCCCCAAGTATACTGAGAGACATCTGTGTTCGTTCCTATGCATACATAGGAAAAAGTCAATGTAAAGAATCTTTTAAATTCAAGTTAATACTATATGGAAAATGTTCACAAACAATCTGTACATCCTTTGACAGGCTTATTGTAGTTTGGATATACTGGCTATGAAATTGCATTCTAAATCTACAATATTAAAAAGTATATTATTATTATTATTATTATGGCTTATAATCATTACATGTAGACTGAATACAGTCTAAGTACCAATCTTTTATAAATCTTCATACATATAGACCAGTGTATTTGTAAACAATTTGTATACTAAGCAAATTCACTTGATTAAAGTTTTTTGCCTATCCTGATTCAATAAACTCCATAATATCACTTTTCAATTTTATCTTTTAAAAGTGAATAAGCATGTGTGAACATTAAACAGATACAGTAAATTCATCTAATAAATTTAAAAACATCCCACCCACTATTGCTTAAGAGCATTCTCGAAACCATATGTCAACAGTAATAAATTCAATGAATAATAAAATGTTTTATTAAAATTATAACCTCTATCTATAAATATTAACAATGCATATAAAATACATTCCTCTAAAGTAAGAATTAAGCATATAAGTATGTATCAGGTGGAATAAAGTACTAATATGGGGGTACTATTATGACATTTTCAGCAGTGAGTAAAGGAAAGTGACACATCTGTACAGTTTACAGCATGTAGGCTTTTTATTCAACTATTACACAATTTGAAAATTCAAATTGGGCCAGGAGTGGTGGTGCACATCTGTAACCCTAGCCACTTGGGAGGATGAGGCAGAAGCATTGCAAATTCAAGGCCAGCCATGGCAACTTACTGAGCTGGTATTGTTGCTCAGTGATGGAATGTCCCAGTATCATTGGGAGGAAAATAAGAAAGGTGGTCATTAATGCATTTATGTCATACATAATTGAATTTCATAATTCAATATTTTTAAAGAATTCTAACTATATAATCTTATTTKATTATTTCAAAAAGTCTGTGAAATAGGCACAATATCCTTAGAGAGAGAATGTGATAGGCCCTATTTAGATCTAAGGCCTAGACATTATTTTGACCTGGTCTTCATCCTTCCCTTACACCTATCTCAGCCTTTACCATATAAAATATTTCAGTCAGGAATAATACACTGTATTCAAAAATAAAAATCAACCTCAGAATAGAGCATGACTTCTCATATCACACTCTTTTTAAAAAATATTTTTTTAGTTGTAGATGGACACACAATAGTTTTATTTATTTTTGTGTGGTGCTGAGGATTGAASTAAGTGCCTCACAAATGAAAGGTAAGCACTTTACCACTGAAGTACAGCCGCATCCCCCATATCACACTCTTTTATAACTATATATTTTAACATGTAGGATAATGTAACACACTGTACTTTTGACATTCAAATTGAAAGTATCATAAAAGAGTGTTAAGATCATAATTAAGTAACATCTTAAATGATCAAATACAGACATGATTCTCTAAAGAAGAAATAACTCAAATATTTTACTTTTACATGTCATATATACATTCACATATTCATACACACATACACACACACACTCATGAGTGCACACTAACAGTTCCAAAATACATTTTCCAAATTGTTTCTTTCTCACATCATCTTCCTTCCTTCCTTCCTTCCTTCCTTCCTTCCTTCCTTCCTTCCTTCCTTCCTTCCTTCCTTCCTTCCTTCTGTCCTTCTTCCTTCCTTTCTTTTATTTTTATTCTTATTACTATTGTTATTAATTTTTCAGTACTGGGGATTGAACCCAGATGCACTTTCACTGATCTATATCCTCAGTGCTTTTAAATTTTGAGACTGGGTCTTGCTAAGTTGCCCAGGATAGCCTTAAACTTGAGATCCTCCTGCCTCAGCCTAAATTGGTGGGATTACAGGGGTGCACCAGTGCACCTTGGTTTTTCACATTTTTTAAGCAAATAATAAATTAAGAAAATTAGGTTTCCCTCTGGTATGTAAGTCTCTTTTCTTTAGTCAAAATAGTCAGATGGACCCAATAGAGTCAAATGTATGAAAGATGATTTATCAAGAGCTCTGTAATGTTTGGAACAATCAATAAAAAAAATAGTCAGATGGGAAATAATTTATTCAAATGTTTTATACTATACGCATGATCAGAATTGCTTATAGCATATGCTACTAAAATGACATAAAAACAAAACAGAGTTAGAAAACTTTTGTCAGGTTACAAAAGGTGATACTCACCAAAGGGGGCATTTTTTGTTTTCTTGATGGAGATATCTCATTTTCCTTACTTGCTTGCTGATGCAACATAGCTTTGAGCTGTTTAACTACAGAGCAAAAGCAAATGAATTCATTGACTTTGAGATCCATGGTTTATGCTATAGTTTTGATTTTATATGTCCCCCAAAGTAACATGTGTTTAAAGCATAGTCCTGAGCTCAGTGCTACTGGGAGGTAGTGGAACCTTTATGAGGTGGGGTTTACTAGTAAGTCTTTCTGTCATTGGAGGGTTACCGTTGAAGAGGATAGTGGGACTCAAACACCTTTCTCTCTCTTTTTTACTTCCCTGCTATGAGGCAAGCAGGTTGTGCTCCTCCAGGTACTTCCACCTTGATGTATTGCCTCATCACAGGAACAAAACTATGGGGCCAATTAGTCATGGACTGAAACTTCCAAACCTGTGAGCCACAATAAATATTTTTACTTTCTAAGTTTATTTAGCTTAGATATTTGTTATAGTAATAGAAAGTTGACTTACAACTTATCATCATCTACCCATTCTTTGATTCATCCAACAAATATTGCTTAWATTTCTATTATGCATCAAAAATTGTGCTATTGACTTGGAATACAAAGACAAAGATACCCCTTAAGAGCTAAAATTCAGTGAGCAAAAAAGATAGACTAATAGATGTAGAACAATAAAACAAGTTTGGATATAGACTTAGAACTATGCATAGTGTTACAAGAGGACACACATAATTGTGCCTGTTTTCACAGAGAAGCTAACGCTGTCCAGGTGAACAGGAGTTCACCAAGCAAGAAAGGGGGAGAAAAGTTCTAGTTAGGATGCATTACATGTGTAAAAGTACAGAGGCATAGTTAGGAGGTTTGTATGCTTAAAATATGGTTTATGAGAGGGATGGTTAGGATGAGAGTGTAAAAAAAAATAAGACTGGAAATGTAGGTTGCAGCTCTCTAAGCAAAATATTGTTATCTCATCTTAAGATATTTGGACTTTAGTCTATAGGCATTAGGAAGTCAAAAAGAACAAAATTTAGTGAAGAAATTGTATTACCTGATTTGTGTTTCAGGAATAACATCCTAGCAGCAGAGTGGAGGATGGTATGGAGTCAGGATTCTGTAGAGTTTAAAGTACTTGCTATGTGTCATTTAGGCTAGGACTGACATTATTACTTACCGGCATGGCTATGTTGCAGTTCATGCCAGGCTATCTCAGGGTCCTCATTTCCTACATTGGTGCTAAAGGAAGGATCCAGTGCTTCTTCTTCAATGGTGACATCACCTTTTCTCAGGGCACATTTCAGTTGGTGAATGCTTCTGCTGGCCCGTTCTGCAAACAGACATCTGATGAAAATCAAGGCCRGTAAAATGTGAGCAGTCACATGGACACTTGTTCAAGATAGCAGTCTTGAAAGAAGTATCAATTATTTCTGGTACTCAATGGAAAGAGGAGAGTTTTGTTTCTAGTTTGCTGAAGATTGTGCCAAAGAAAGTGAGAGAAGATTAACTTCATGGATTAGAGGTTAGTCTTAATGGTCGCTGTAACTGCAATTGTTGATTTCTTTTTTTGTTTTATGTTTAATATTTTTAGTTCTGGGGATTGAACCCAAGGTCTCAAGCATGTTCACCAAGTCCTCTATGAGTGAGCTTCATTCCCAGCCCCTTCTGATATTCACTATATATAGCACCTCCAGCATAGTTTTGGAGGGTCAAATGGCAGTTTCCCCACTCTCAAGCAATAACCAACCTGGGGATCTGGAGATGTGWTCTCCTTCCTCTCAGTGCTTAATACTGCCCTACCCTACCTGGAAATAGAAGGGTGAGTTGGGCAGAGCCAGCCAGCGGAACACAGTAACACCAAGTTCTGACCTAGGGAAGCCCCATTATCCCTGAGGACCTGATGCCCTTGCTTCACCAAGAGACATAAACTAGCTGGGCATGGTGGCACACAGATATATTCCAAGCTATTTGGGAGGTCAAGGAAGGAAGATCAAAAGTTTCAAGGCCAACCTGGGCAACTTAGTGAGATCTTGTCTCAGAATAAAATTTTAAAAGGACTGGGGATGTAGCTCAGTGATAGAGTGCCCCTGGGTTTAATCCCTAGTATCACCACCGGGGTGGGGGGGAGAAAAAGAATGAATTGCTTATTCCAGTTTCTCAGTTTAAATCAAGATTTGTACAGTTGAAGTGATTACGGTGGCAGTTCATACTGTACAGTGTTTCTTATGCATYGTACTCATTCTTGGTTAGTGTAACCCCTCGAAATGAAGCTTAAACATGGTAGCACATAACATTTGTTTCTTTGATAATTCATCTCCTTCAAGAACCCAGGCTCAYTTCCTTGTGGCCTTATATTTTGAAAATGAGTAGGCCTATAATTTGTATTAACCAGCACAAGTWACACCATGAAAGTCCCAGGCCCCATCTTTTTTACAAAGGACTAGCAGCTGCTGTCTCCTTGATCTTGGAATGTTTGATTTTAGGAGCTGTTCATCTTGTTGAAGAGACCTGAGAAGAGGCCACATAGAGAGGAAAGGCTCTGAGACTACATGGAGAAGGAGAGATGCTCATCACCTCCATCACTCTACACCCCAATAGTCCAGTGTAACTGTTAGAGGACTCCACTGTCAGCAACCATTTAAGTACAATGTCAGGAAAAAAGACCTGATTCATGTATGAAAGCACATTTATTAACATATATTTTACAGAACCTTGAAAAACAAATTTCTTTTTCTCCAAGTTCATTCATTTTCAGGTTTAAAATAGAAAACCATAATGATATTACTTAATGGAGAAGTAGTAGAGTTTCTTGACTTACAGCAAGTAATTTTCTACCTTGATTAATCTAAAGAAAACAGGTCTTTCAGTCTAGGTTAAACAATGGAATTCTGTTTATTAATTACACAAGAGACTCAGTGAATTTATCATTACATTTTCTCTACAGTAATCCTATTTATATATAGATCTTTTTCTAACACAAACTTGGTGCTGATTACTAACCAAGTCTGGTCTTTTCTTACTTATCCTGAATTTAAAGAAGCACAGATGGGCTGGGGATGTGGCTCAAGCGGTAGCGCGCT